GACTTTATGTGATTTAAAATGATTTTCATCCGTATTACATGTTTTGTGTCTAAGGAAGAAAAAATTAAGGCAAAACTGAACAGAATGATGCGGAAACAGAAGAAAAAAGTCTACAGCAGTCTGACAGAGACAATTGAGAACATTATGGAAGAAGGCTACAAGAGTAAGAAATAAGATTAGAGATTCATAACTTGGCACTAAAACACATATTTATCATTATTCAGTAAGAGAAATCTGATTGGAGCTTTCTGTCCTATTGTAGAGGCTGCAGAATTTGAAGGAGAAGGCACGCTGTACAACATGAGAAAGACTATTACGGACCACGTGCACTCAAAGAAGGACATGTTTGATCAGGCAAAAAATACCATGTTGGAGAAGTTACGCAGTTTAATGGTTTGTCATGTTTTATGAAGAAATATGATTACCATATTTTGTTCATTTTTGTTAATTCACCCAAAGGCTTTTTCTATATTTAGCTGGAATAGACTTAGACAAAAATGTATGTTCAATTTATATTTTTAATCCAGTTTGAGAACCTTCTAAATGTAATTGTATTTGACTTTAACACATTTTGATCTGTGATAAGTAATTACAATTTCTAAAATAGGTAAACATCCTGGAGATTCTGGAGAAAATTATGAAGGAATCCATTGAATGTTCATTCAAGACTGATGGGGGCTTACTCCCAGGTAAACAGGACAGTTTGCTGTAATTACATTTGATAATGCTTTCTTCCTTTTCTCTTTACAGTCTTGCACCTGATAGCACAGTCTGTTTACCTATTTGTCTATCTATTTTTTAATTAACTTATTAATTACTGAGTGACCCTGTTACTGTGGCGGGAAACAATTAAAAAATGTTTTGTTTTTCAGATGTTTCAACAGAGCTTGAGATGGTGAAGAAATATTATGATCAACTTGCAGCCACTCCAGATGATGAAACATCACTTGGTAAATCCTTAAATGTCATCATCAGTATTACATTAAATGTTTTAAATTAAAACAATTGTCCTTAATGGAACCAATGGAAACCAAAGTTTCCATTTGTTATCGCTCTTTGTTAAACCTCTTTTTCTGTTTTTGTCACGGTTGGCTGTGTGGCAGGCAGGCAAGCAGGAGTGGTGGACCCAAAATGCAGGACTCAGACTCGAGGGGTGAACTCAAAAGCTTTTATCTCAGCTTTATTTGCTGGCACAGGAAAACAAGCTTACAAAGCAAACTAAACTAAACTGGGAAACAACATAAACTCACGGAGATCACTCAAGGAGATCCACACAGCATGAGGGTGAACTGACGTTAACAATGCAACAACAAGAACTAACTGACAGGGACTAAAATACACTGGTAGGCACATGAGGAAACGAGGAACAGGTGGGAACACAGCCGGGAGAAATTAGACTAAACGAGACAGAGGAAGCGAAACTAGAAACACTGACATAAGATATGAACCTTCAAAGTAAAACAGGAAATCCACAGACTGAACACAGATAACTCTGACCAAGAACAGGAGGAACACAGTACAGGGGTCAGAGTGACATCAGGGGCAAAGGAATACACAAGCTAAGAAATATAGAACAGAAACCAAAACACCAGTAGTCATAAGCCAAGAATCCAAAGGAAAACAGACCAATAAACAATAATATAGAATCAAAACACTGGGCCACAGGCCCAGAACCGTGACAGTTTTGGGTGTTTCAGATTTGAGGACTGGGTAGAAACTGCAGAAGCCTGGACACAAACAGGTTTTCCCAGAGCAAGTGCTGATTAAAACAAAAAAACATTTTTGATTGATTTTGTCTCAATCATTTTCAGTTGTTTTTGTTTGGTCTATTTAAAAGTTGTTTGGTGACATTTGACTTTGAGACTGTCTGTATCTTTAATGATTCAAATCTTGAGGCTGACATAGCAGTTTGAGGAAAAACTGAAAGAGATTTACATTACATCACTCAACATATATTTCAAATCAATTTTAATGTTTTTATTTATGAGTTTAGTTATGGCTCATTCAGATGCCAATGACATTTATATAACACATTTCAGTACATGTAAAATCAGTCTACTTAACACAGAAGATAAAAACATGGCAACACTTTATAATACAGCCCACGACTGACGCGTAATTCCCCTGTAATTAAATGGAATATCAATGTATTTGATTAAAATTGTAATTGTATTTATCTACAAATATTTAAAGGTAGGGATTTCTGAAATGTTTAGTACTATAATCTAATGAATCCTAAAACTGATCTTGTAAACTTTGAGACAGGTTTGGTCAGTTAGGGTAAGTAGCTCCATCTCCATGCAGCTACAGGACTAGTTTTATCCCTCTACATTGTGTCCATCTTTTTCCTCAATTTCAGGAGTTCTTTTCACTGTGGAATTAATTGTCTGATTATGAGATTAAAAGTAGTTTTTCATCTCAACTTTTCACACTCAAATATGTGTTTTTGACAGGTTTTCATACATTAGAGCCACAGCAGAAGGTGTTTCTCTTGAAAACAATATCTGAATTAGGATTAGATGGATTTGTGTATGAGAAACACAAATAGTCATAGATTTATTTGTAAAAGTTTTTTTTTCAAGGACACATTCATACTTCTTGTCATGCTCTTTAATTGTAAGTTTCTTGCTCCCAACAACATTTCTGACATGTCATCTATGTTTATTCTTCACAAAAAATATTACATAAACATTGTTTTGGCAGTAGAACTAGCAGAATCTGTTGTGATATTTTGACAACATTGTGTGCTGTTAACAGAATTTGACCTCTGTCACACCTAACAGCCATTGTTGTTGTTATGCAGGTCTTTTTTTGTATAAAAATATATTATCACATTATTTCTAAAAGCTTGTCTTAAAATGTTAAACCCAATTTACCTTTGCAATAAATTCTACATTTCAGGAAATATTCTTTTCTTTTTTTAGCATGAGTATCCTAAAATACCATCATTTTTGTTTAGGTTCAGTTGTTAATATAAGTTATAAAAATTTGGCAAAAACATTACAGTTTTACAGCCATACTCATAATATTATAGCCAGATGTTATTTTATTCCATTAAGGCATTTTTCAATGCTTAAACTCATTGAAATAAGTCCCTGAATAGTCTTTACTCCCATTACTCTTATGGAAATCCTTCTGAATTTGAATTGTTTTTTGTTTTTTTTGTTTGTTTGCTTTCTTTTGTTTTTTGTTTTTTGTTGTTTTTGTTTTTTGAAGGGGAAAAAAAAAGACCAGAATAAATATCAATCTTTCATCAACCTTTTTCTCAGTTTTTCTGAATGATTCACAAATGTGTTAAAGCACACCCTGTCCACCCTCTTATAGTTATTTACAGTATAAACTGATACTGCATCATATAAGTCAGTTATTCTTAACCACTGGGCCGTGAGCAACACCTTGAGGGCTGGAAAAAAAATGTTATTTTACACCTGTGTCCCTGTCCATTAAAAATAATTTCACTTTCAATACAGCTTCCCACCACTTGTTGGGGGTTGTTTAATCAGCCTCAATAAGCAACCAGAAGAAGACAGTCTGCCCACTGTTTACAAATAGCAAAATATATGGAGAAGTTCTTAAAATGCAAAAATGAAGATAAAAGTGACAACCCCCCTTCCCAAAAGGCAACATTTTTGTGCAAGTTTAACCCTGACTTCCTGAAGTATGTGTTTGTGAACAGAGGAAACGAGGCGGACTTGAGAGCCCGGTGTGCGAAGTGTGGACTAATGCTACCCAACGAAGCACTGAACTGATTTTACCTGTTGTTGTATATATGTGTCATGAGCTGATGGGAGAGGCTGCTGCAAACAAGCTACTGACCATCGCACTCTCAAACAAAACTCTGAGCCACCGTATTACAGACATGGTCTTAGACATACAGCATCAGCTTCCGGAAAGACTAAAAAGTACTACATTTTTCTCTTTGCAACTAGACGGGTCCCTTTTTTTCTTGTCTCTTTTGCTGTAGTAAAATTGAATTATTATTTTTATTATTAAGCTTGACTCGAGCCTTTCAATTTCTACTTGCAGTTGGATTTGTTCCATGAATTGTTAACCTGTTTGGCATTTTGTTTCATGTCCAGGTTCACATACAAGTAATAAATAAATGTCTTTGTGATTATTACATTGCATTATGTCATCATCCTGTTTATTTAGCTTTAGTTGCTAAAATGAAGTATATTTGATTTAGTTATTAAATATAAATCAAACCAAAAGCAACCTCAGTTTATTGAATACAGTGTTAATATCTGAATGGGCCCTGGGTCACTTTGTAGTGAAAAGGTTGGGCCCCGAGGTAAAACAAAAAAAAAAAAAGGTTAAGAACCCCTGACATAAATAATAATGACTAATTTAAGCATAAAATGTCTTCCTTATGCATGAGCTTGATTTTGAAAATTTGGGTTTGTCAACATCCCCAAAAATCATAAATAAGTAACAAACCAGTATATTTGTAAGAGATTATATACCTTATGTCACAAAGTGATGTCAGTGATTTATGATGGGGTAATATAATATGATAATTAAACAGTAGTATGTTTGACATATATATCTATATATCTATATACCTATATATCTATCTCTCTATATCTATATGTATATATAGATAGATACAGATATATAGATATAGCAGCTGGATGGTGTAGTGTTAAAACTATGCAAACTGTATAAGTGAGCAGATTCCTAACATGTTGAGCTGTCTGTTGTGATGACCACTTTTTTCTTCTTTTTTAATGTTTTGTTTTCCAGTTTACTGTAAGTATACATAAAACAGTGTTTTTGTCTTGTTTTTAACCCATAACATTTGTA